AGCTGCTTAAAGGGGCTCTAAATCCCTGTTTGATGTGCAAACCGTCAGCTTTGCTACCGCGCCTTTGTCAGGCAGCCCTGGCTCTGCTCATCCTTGTGTGTGTGTGTGTGTGTGTCTCTCTCTCTCAATTAAGATTAAAAGCGCCTTGTGCCATCATCCACTCTCAAGGTAAGCCCCTCTGTAGTGCCAGTGCTGTACCCTGTCTGCTGCCTGGCCTTTATCTGATCCATTTGGAAACGACTTTTATATTCTCATTAGGCTCATCGCCTGCCCTCCCCTCCCACACGCAGGCTCCCCCCGAGGCAGCCGAGCAGCCTTGCTCTACCTTTGCAGATGTTGTTAAGCCTCTTACTAAATCTCCCCGGCGCAGGCTGCCTCCGCACGCTCCCGAGGAACTACAGACCCCCTCATACCTACTTCTCCTTTCTTCCTCCATTTGGCGTATTATATCCCCATCGTGACTGCAATTTAATTAGCACCAAGCAACACATTCTCCAGCATTTTGAGGAGAAAGATCTAGGAGTCCTGGTGGACAACAGGATGACCATGAGCCGACAATGTGCCCAATGGGCCAGTGCTCTCTATTTTGCAAGGTCAAGCACCTCCACTCCCAGTCACAAAGAGAGGCAGAGAAAACAGAAGCAGCAAGTCCACTCTTCTTAAAAGCCTGAGGACACGATAGTGTCACCAGTCAACCCAGATGAGGAGGAAGGAAGAACAGCATGAGAGGGTGCAGATGGTAAAATCCTAAACCAGTGAGATGGATTTCCTCAGCCAGTTAAGAATTCAGAGTTACGAACAGGGCAGCTCTTCCCCAAAACCAGGACCCCCCCCGGGAACCTAAGGAAATCCAAGTGCATCAGTGGTGACTGTAATAAATCTGTGGTGCTGCAGAGCTGGCCCAACACACGCAAGTTTGCTCCGTGATTAAGAGATCTCTGTAATACCTTAAGGTCCCCAGTGGGCCCAGAGCGGTGAGATAAAGCTAACGTGCATCAAACACATCAGAATATCTCAATCATTACCGCAGCCGACGGTGGCTCCGGAGCCAATCGATAGGGCAATTAGATTTTATCAGTCCACGCCTCTCGGCCACCTCCTTCTGCTGTCGCTGCAAAAGCCTCCGTTCCCCCTGCCAGCCCTGGGTCTCCAGATGACTGAGAAGCACTGGCTGGAGCAGATTTTTGCCTTTTTTGTAGATTTTTGCTGTTGGTATTCTTTATTTCCTTTAAAGGTCCAGTATCAAGGGACACTTCAAGCATGAGTTAAGCTGTCAGCTGTTCTTATCTAGGCGTCTTGCTTCAGCACACACATGAGCAGGGGGGGACACTGCTCACCCCCAAACCTCTCATAGGCTGAATCCCTGGAAGTAGGCTATAAATCCACATCCAGCCCACACTGTCACAGCCGAACACCACCACGCAGGCCTGGCAGAGAAGTTAGGGAGGACAAGACAGGAAAGCCAGCTCTGTTGTTCTCTCATCATTTGCTTTATGGTCTTGGGTAAATTTGCCCGTTTGTGCCTTGTTTGACTCATGGCCCCCTACAATGTACTCAAAAAACTGGTGGAAGGCATGATGCATCTTGTCCAACATTTCTGATGGAACTTTACCTGCTGGCAACATAATCACCTCCCTTTCCCCTTTAGCACTGTAGCCCAACAATAAGAGTCTTTCCATTTTTATAAGTGTATTTTCGAAGCTCTGTAGCTCTCAGGTTTGCTAGCCCCCATTTCTGTAGATGCTAAACTTGCCAACATGTCACAGTCACTGGTCTTAATCACACCTAAGCGATGCAGCAGACAGCACAGCCACAACCACAGTTGGTTTTGATGACTCCAGATTCTTCCTAGCTCTTTGGGCCTGACAAGATCCAAAATACAGTGACTTCTTTTGTCCCAGCTATCCCAGCCCTAGGACTGCACCCCCTCTAGGCTCACTGTTCCAAACGGGCAGCACCCACCACCATGGGTTGTTCTATTCATCCTCTTCTAGTCAGGGCCAAACCCTACCCAAGTCTCTCAGGACCCAGTTATTTTCTGTCTTTCAGCTTCTGTTGTGCCAAACTAAGCTCTTCGGTCTCTCCATTCCCAAATATAACCATCACCATTGAAGTGACCTGTTTTCACTTAAAAATTAACCACAGGCCTTCCAAGGATATTAATATCAGTGTTGGTCTTCCAACCAAAAGCTTTGTATGTTCCAGCAACGCATCGGTCTCTTCAGCCCCTTTTGACCTGAACATCAGCCCAGCTCTACCTTGAACCCTGACTCCAGTCTCACCCATCTCCCAGAACTCAGAAAAGCCCCAGAAATAACTATACCTCATTCTTTTCCATTAGTTTCAGCCCCTTTCTGCATTTCAAAGACCATTAAAGATCCAGTAATGCTTCTAATTTTCCAGTCCGTGCTGTTCAAACCTATAGCACTGCCTCTAATCCTGGTTTAATGACAAATCAAGGAACTCCCTCACAGCATTAATCATAAACCGACCAACCCTGCCAAATTCAACCCTATTCTTAACCCCAGGGGCCCTGCAATAAGCAAATCTCTTCCATTCGTCCTATCCTTGTTCTCCAGCCTCTGTTTAGCCTCAGCCACAGCCAAGAAGCCACGTACACTTCTGAATCCCCAGCACGCACTCGCTCCTCACCCTGCGCACGTGGAATTTGGAGTTTGAGCCACAGAGCAGCCTCAGGAGCCCTCAGATGCTCCTGGCTGGGACCGTGTGCCCAACTTCAAACCATAAATGCTAAACCAGCAAAGAGAAAACATCACAGCAGCAGATTCCAACTTCCTTTGAGAGCACTGCAGCTTAGAGTCATGAGGGATGAGGGAGTTTTGAAACATATCAGCGTTAACATCATTTATTCAGCACTGTCCATCTCCAAATGCCTTTTTTGAGGGTGAGATTCTCATAACCCAAATATATGGTCTTGTTTTCAAAGGTTCACAATGCAAACAGCAGATAATTGGGAGCATGATTCTTCTCCCCTTATTGCTGTAACTAAGTCATTTAAACAAAATTCAGTCTTTTAGACTAACTCTCTTAGAATTATGTATGTAGCGATGAGTTATACCATTCTCCCCTTCCACCCCTGCCAGTATAAACAAACAGAATTGGGACATAAACCAAATAATCAGCATCAGCTACAAATCCCAGCCCGTTTTTTTTCTGTTTCCTTGACTTCCATGTCTGGGAGGTGGTGACACAGGTACCAGCTCAGCACATGCTCTAAAGGCAGAGCTGGCAGGTTCTGCGTAGACTTTGGCAAATGAGTCTTCTTTTAATCAAACCAGCATTTAGAGTGAGCCGGCTCCAGACAGCAGGGAAAAAAATTAAGAGTTAAACTGTCCATGCGGAGATGTGGCAATGCTCCCTCTCCCTTTAGATACCTAGTGTCCCCACCATCCCCCCCACCCACTCTTTGGCTGGTCACCTCTTGTTACACACACCAAATCTATCACGGCCCGAAAAGCTCTTGTGGCCTCTTGTGTTTTGCACTGCTCAGACACTCACTGAGGTCAGAGCCAAGCCCCGCTGCCCTCACTGCTCTATGTGCCTATGTTCTCTATTTCTTACTGTTTCTTACAGTTCAGAAACTAACCAGAGAACCTCAAATGTGAATTCTAACAAGTAAGAATGAGGATTTCTTCAGCTGATCTTTTCTACTGCTTAACACCAATGGGAATGAAAAGGACCCTTTGCATTTCTGGGATGCAAACCTCAAAGAATTTCAGCAACGCTGATCAAGGCCAGCAGTTTCTCTGTAAAGCAAACAATATTAAAAAACATTTTAACATACAGGGTCAAATGAGACATATAGACTCAAGCAAGGTCATGCAGAAAAACGTGTATTTCTCTGGCCAGTTTGGCTCTTAGAGCTGTGTAGGAAAAGGGCTGTGGAGATCAGCGCTGCATCAAGGCCAGCAGTTTCTCTGTAAAGCAAACAATATTAAAAAACATTTTAACATACAGGGTCAACTGAGACATATAGACTCAAGCAAGGTCATGCAGAAAAACGTGTATTTCTCTGGCCAGTTTGGCTCTTAGAGCTGTGTAGGAAAAGGGCTGTGGAGATCAGTTAATGAAGAGAAGATGGAGATTCAGCTGTGAAAGCAAAGAGTGGGGGCTGCCCGTGGCTGCTTTACAGACATGTCACAAATCCCCCAGTTCAGCACAACACACATATGGGACCAAACACTTCACTGCAGAAGCAGTCCCACCAGTAGAGACTCACTGCAGGCAGGAGGAACCCTTCTGGGAAGGGATCAAGCCTCCTGCAAAAGGCAAACCAGGTACCTGTCGTGTTACCGAATATTCTCCAAAGGCATTCCCAAAGCATGTTAGATGTGGTGTTCCCTTCAGAATGACTTAGGAGAAAATATGAACAAATCCACAAAACATACAGGTTTTCAGGAAATACATATCTACCACCACAGCATCCTTGCTCATGGCTCCCTCACTGACACCCAGGAGGCACAGGGCAGGACCCAGGAGGAGCACTTCTGGTTCTACCATGCCAAGTCCAAATCAGGTAAACTTCCCTCAAAAAACAGGTACCACTACAAAACCAACCAAACACGCTCATAAAGGAGTTGGCAGGCACACAGGCAGCACGGGGAACCTCTGATTAATGAAATTACAAATCAAACCATGCTCTCTGCAAGGCCTTTCTGCTTCACTTGACACTAACCCCGGGGACATTTCACTTCTTTGCTGGCGCAAGCTCCTTTGCCAGTAGTTTAACACAGACCACTAGATTTGAGAATAACACAGGGCTGGGATCTCAAAAGGACTTTAACATCACCATGAAATCCTTTCCATGTTAATCTTCAGCTAGAATATTAAAAGCCTTCGTATAGCTTACTCCAAACTGTAACACAAACAGCCACAGAAGAAGCAGCTGCTAAAAAAAAAATGAACAAATGAGGGAGTGAAAGAGAAAGAGGAGGGAAGGCAACAAGCCCAGAGCAGCAGGACCTGCTCCAGCCCCTTACCTGCTGCTCCCAAGCCCACGTCGATGCTGTTTCTCTTGAATTCACAGCGGCTCTGGGTCTCTGGCATAACGAGCTGACGGCTCTGATGCAGGTTGGAGATGATAGTGGAAAGGTCGTTATCACGGCTGCAACAGAGCAGAAAAGCACCAAGTTAAGGAAATCCTATTTGCCACCACATAATTGATTTTTGTGTGTGTATGAGCATGTGTGTGTGTGTGTGTGTGCGCACGCGAGATTCTTTTGTTTGCCCCTGACACAGCTGTATTTCAAGAAAGGTTCTCCCCCCTCCTACCCCTCGGGTTCCTCGGTAACCTCCTCTCCTGTCGGGGACGGGAGACTCAAGCGCGAAGCACTTCCCAAACAGCGCTCTCATTTCCCATAAAGGGCTCTGCTGCTGCCAGAGCTCCTGATTTCAGTTTTGCCAGATATAACTTGCGTGGGCCAGAACTTACATCTCAGATGGAAAAACTGAAAGTGTAGGAATTGGCAGATCTATTCCAGCATTAATAGGAAACTTGAACTGAAATAACTGATAGTTTTCTATCAGTTGCCACCCTTCTATTCTTAAAAAAAAGTAAGTTTTTCCATTCCTTCACTGTTGGAACACGAGACTACTTTATTTACTTGAATAATAGTTTTTCTTTTTAGAGAGAAACTCACCATGAACCCGGACATCAGCATTACTCACAGCTGAGGGTACACACTTATTTACAAAACTAATTTTCAACTCTTCACTCTAACAGATCCTGAAACAATGCTCCCTTCCTTCTGGTACAAGAGAATGCATTACAGCAGTTCAGCATTATTTTCCCTGTTATCCTTGCATCAGATTGCTGCTAAGTAGGCTACTTTGGTCTTTTTTTTTTTTTCCTTTTTTTTTTTTCTTTTTCCTTCTACGGAGAGGAAGAAGACAAACAGAGAAAGACATTCCCTAGCAGATCCTGCAGTTCAGCTGGCAAATGCTTTTGCTTGCAAACCGCTACCCTCTTGCAAAACATTTCTGAATAAATGATATACAAACACTGAAGAGGAAAAACAAGCTAAAACGTATACATGATACTAAATGAAAAGGCTGGAATGTCTCCCTTTTGTTTGTTTGCAGTATATGTTAAATCACCCATCCTTCTAGCACAAGGTGCTTGCCCCAAGCTAAATGTGACTATTTTTCTTCCTCTCCTCTTTCTAAATGGAAGATGACAGCCAGAAAACCCGGAGACACTTAGAAAAAATTATACATATTAGAAATATTGCCCTCCCCTCCCACGTCCACAGCTCCCTCCCAACCTCTACCCACATGGCCAGTGCACCCAGTCCGTGCTGCTGGGACACCCAGCACATGACCATCAACTCACTGGTGCAGAGCAGTGTCCTCACCTGGGACCAGCAGGACAACACGGAGGGTGCATTATCTGCAGAATTACCTAGCAATGATCTTCCTTTAAATATCCCCCCTTCTCTTATCCCCCCCTCACCTCCTCCCCACCTGCTGCACCCCCAGCTCCAGGCTCGGGGGGCTGGCGACAGGAGAGGATCTGCTCAGATGCTCCCCAGTGCCCATCCCCGGTGCAGGAGCAGGGGCTAATCTCTCGTCTAGCTCTCTGCTAATCAGATAAGTTTATGACAGAAAGTCTTTAGACAGAGGTACTTTCAGCGGGCGTCTGGCTCCAGATTTTCGCAAGATGTAGCAGACAAAAACAGACTCTCATTTCAGCAGCCGCCGTTCCCTGCTGCTCCCCCCCCCCAAACCCCCACCCGCCTCCGGTCTCGGGGAGGAGATAGGATGCTGGGATCTCAAAGCCTTTGAGCACCCATTGCATCTTCCTCCGCTAAACCAGTTCAGATTCCTCCTTATGCAAGCAGAAGGCTAATTACTTAAGCAAGCCCACAGGTGAGTGGGAAGCCCATTTCTCCTGTGCCAAGCAGTTTTGGGTCTTATCCTCTTTCAGCTGCCACCTTTAAGATGCATTATGCAAATATTTTGGTGTCTTAAGTCATTTATGGGATTAATGTGAAGTGATTATCAGTTCTTTTTAATCATGCCAATCAATAACTGGATGTCAGGGACAGAGGACAAATGCAGATAAACGCTGCCATCAGCACAACGCTCAGGAAAGGGCGGAGGAGATGAGCCCGAAGAGCAGAGGGAGAAAGGCAGGGAGTAGGAAGAGAAAAATGGGATAATTACATCTTTGCATTTGCGGAGTGTCCTGCATCCCAATCGAGCCCAAAGCACCTCCGATACGTAAACACAGTAAGAGAGCTAGGGGAAGGAATTGTCTCATCCACCACTACAATGCAGCTACCTCTCCTGCTGGAACAGAGCACAGCAACTCCTCAACATGACTTGATTCTCCAAAATACAAAGAATGAATATCCACCATAAACTAAAACCAGTGGAAGAAGGCATTATCACACCAGAAATTATATTTTTCTTCTCTGACGATCTTGTGGTTTTAAGAGATTCTCCATGGTCTTAAAATTAAAATCATCATGGCATGGAAAGGTGCGTGAGCAAGTCCTAACTGCCCACAGGAGCAGGTACCACAGCGCCGAGGGAACACGCTACAGGCTTTGAATTCAACTCGCTCTACCCACACAATTAGGCAGGATCCCAGGAAAACACGACTTTGGGGGAATACCTTTGCAGAAGGCAAACTGAACACCAAGGTGACATTGAGAGGAAAGGAAAGAGAGAGCAGAGATAAGACAAACAGGCTCAGACAGCTTTTAACACATCAGACTGTCCCCAGGAGCAGTCCCTTTTGCCTTAGTGCAGGGAGGTTTGAAGCAGAGATTGTCTTTTTGTTCTGGGCTTGTTCTACCCCTGGCACGACGGGAGGCAGCTTAGAGCTGGGGCTTGGCCTGAGTTTGAGGAAAGAGGTAACCAGAGCTTCTCGTGAAAAAACGAGATACCTTTCTGTGTAGGTGAAGAATTTAAACATTTTTTAAAATACCATAGGCCAAGCTGGCCCCAGCAAATGCAGCTCCCCAGGGCTGCAATCGGGCTCCAGGGATGGTGGGGGCTCTCTAATAAGGGACATACTCGTGTAAGGCTCTGCTGAGACCACAGAGGACCTTCTACCACCACGCTGGATGAACAGAATGACAGACCAGCTTTGGATCTGCAAGCTGACAGCTCTGCCACCTCCACCTTACCCGGGACTGCATGAGATGGCCAACAAACATCATTGCTACAAGAGACCCCCCTGAAGCTCCACAGAGCAAAGTCCAACAAACTGCTGTCATCCCAGTACCATTTAATAAAGCTAGTGGAAGTTTAACTTTTAATTGAGCCTCAGTTCTTCTAGCTGAAGAACTCCATCAGTCACTCAGTGCTTTAGCCAGGAAGTACTCCATCAGTCACTCAGTGCTTTAGCCAGGAGGAAGGGCTCTGCCCAGCTGCCAGCAATTTTCAGAGCTTACCCAGCTTTTCCACACTCACTGCCCTGGACTGCTGCACCCCAACTGCCCTCCCAACCCTGAAATCCCATTGTACGTGGCTGGGTGGCCCAGCAGGAGGACAAAAGATTCCACTGTCCATGGCTGGGTGGCCCAGCAGGAGGACAAAAGACATAGCGTTGCCACAGGCGTTGGGAGATCTGCTTGGTCCATAGACCAAAAGTTGCAAAACATGAGTTATAAATCCAGCCTGGGCAAACTCCTTCACAGCTCAGTCCTGTCCAGGCCCCCCCTTCCCCCCAGCCCTGAGGGAACACCTCAGCCAAATCACAGTCACCGACACCAGCCATAACCACATCCACCTCAGGTCAAGACGCAGAAGATGACCTTTGGGCACACCAATATAGAGATAGTAATGCCTAAAACTTGACTGCATGGTCTGTGACTAATGCAACTGGTTCTTTCCTGGGCTTACTTGGAGGGAATAGTAGAATGGTTTGGGTTGGACGGGACCTTAAAGATCATCCAGTTCCAACCCCCCTGCCCTGGGCAGGGACATCTCCCACTAAACGAGATTGCTCAAAGCCACATCCAACCTGGCCTTGAAACCAAAAGGGGTGCAACAGCATCCCCTCCAAAGTCCTCACCAGCAGGAGCACAACTCTGGGTGGGAAGAAGCTGGCGTTAAGGGATTGGAGAGGGCTGGTCCTTCCCCTGGAGAGGATTCCCCCATCTGTGTGCCCAAGCCAGTAATTCCACCCAGGAGCTCACTCGCAGCCCCAGCAGGGCACAGCCACACTCTGCTCTTCCTTTGTCTCGGCTCCGAGCCGCCGCCGGGGGCCTGTTAATGCAGGCACCCCCCATCCCTGCACTGACACATGCACACACAATCAGATTAAAGGTCTGATCCCTTCCAGTAGCATAATATTATATTTTAAAAACCGGATTAGAGAAGGGGGGCTCGAGCAAGATACAGATCTCCTGAAAGGTCAAGGAGGAGACAAATAGCCTTCTGTAGGGCTGCAGGTTGCCATGGCAACATTCAGTTTGCATGGGTTTTGGTAATTAATGGTTTGGGGACCTGCAGTAACACAGGTGTGTTTCCAAGCAGCAGGGGAACATGTTCTGAGGCATCACTGTCTGGGCACTTCCACCTCAGAGCAGCAAGTTTTGCTCTTGCAGTAAAATAAAGGGTAGAAAATTGAGTCCTTACTGTCAGGGATTCCAGAGGGCACGAGGCTGGTTGGCCACGTCCAGATTTGCCTTCAAACTGGGAAGTGACTCGGTGTTACTGACAGCCTCATAAGACCTTTCTTCTGACATCTGGCTCAGAATGATGGAAGCCCTGATCACAAGGTGTTTTTTTCAGGTATTTCTGCTATTTTGCTGGGCAAAGTTTTACAGAAGAACTTGCAGCACTACAGGATTTTTGAGTCTGAATTTCAAATCCAATACACATTTAACCTCAGTGCAGAATACTAAAATCTGTGCTCTCCTATATCTGAAGAGTGAATCTAAACATGTCTAGTAAAGATAAAGTCATGTTGTTGCTTTCAGTTACAGCTGATGTGCTGTTGCTCACTCTCTATTTGAATCCATCATCCTGGGTTTGCAACATCATACTTAGTAGCTGTGGAGAGGAATAAAATGTTAAAAAAAGATGAAGATCTCGCGTGGCAAAAAGGTGTGTGATGGCTGCTGATAACAGAGTGAGATCCCATCTTCA